AAAAAAATCTTGGCTCTGTGGAGTTTCTGGTCTAAATGCATGAAGTCATAACTCTTGTTTTAACCAATCTCATTTGAAAGATGCATTTGTGAAACACACCACTTGTCGTTTAGGACAAAGGATGAAAAGAGAACAGGAAATCAAAATATCTCCAGAGGGAACGTTTTTTCTTGCTAGACTATGTATATAGTACACAGCTAAAAGCCTTCCTAATGATAGTGCTGGGGGACGGAGCCTACACAGGTGTGATAAGTTACGTACTTTATATTCGACTGTACAATCGTAATGATTTGTAGGACATGATTTGATCTATGATATTTCCGAATCCATCATAATGAGTTGAACTCAGCTGCTTTGGCTCTGTAAGCATTTCAGAGCTTAGGATGGTGTAAACTAAACTGTGTTTAGTTTAGTAAGATATATGAATATAAAGAGGAAAACTAAGAGATTGACCTGGCAGGAGACTGACAATTAAAATAAGGGGGAAAAGCTTGCTTTTCTTCTATTTTGAGAAAAGGAAGACTTAATTCCAACAGAAAGAATGCCATTTGAATGGGGGAGGGAGTGATGAAGTGGTGGAGAGGATGAATACAGTAGTTATGTGAAGTGGATATTGAGTAATGAGATAACTTTTAAGTATATATGAAGCTGATATTTGAATTTGGTGTCCTTCAAAATTACCTTAAGAACATATATCTGTATTCCAGAGGTGTTGCCACTGATCCAAACATCTTGGCACTGCTCTTGAAAATTCTTCTTGTTACTCTCTGTAGTAGGTTGTAGAGTTACTCTAATTTCATAACGATGACAGACTATGATATTACCCCTATCACTTTGCATGTTTGTAAATGACAGAATATCATTCCGTGGATCAACAGCTCCCTATTGGCAGCCTGTTTGTATGTATGGCCCCTTCACTGAGCCTTTGCGGTGTGGCGGGGCAATCTGACTACAGCTCTTTTGTTTCAAGTGCTCAGCTCTAGCTCTGTACTCACAAGGACCAGGTACACAATTAAGATCAAAGTCTTTCTTATAAAGTGATTCTGACAGGACAGTGCTTCCACAGACAAAGGAAGCACAGGTACCAGGCAAGTCCCTAAAGAGGATTCCTTGTCACAAGAGTAACAAATGCTGTTTTGGTTCATCTGACAGGACAACGGTGTTGCTTTGATATACAGAATGCTTTGTCATAATATTTATTATAAAGTGATTTTGTCTGTTTTGTTAGACACAGGTTGGACAGAGGACTGTCACATGAAATTCTCAGTTCATTCAGCTGGAATTTGGAAGTATATTCAGTTTCTTTTAATACACCATTCTGCCAACATAGATTTGTTGGGCATACTATGTGTTAGACATGGTACCTGGTCCAGGAAGCAGTGATATATAAGACAGTCATGATCCCTGCCTTATCAGTGAGCATAATTAGATTAAAAATCAGATAGCAGAGTGACAAGTTATTATAGGGGATGTTTCAAGAGCCATTAGAGTATTTGTAGGCACATATATGGTCAGGGGCCTTGGGACACATCTTTAAAAGGAAAAGAGAGTGGTATTTAGAGATCTGGAAGGAAAAGGAAGAACACGAAGGTGGAAAGAATGGCAGATACAAAAGCTTGGAGGTGAGAATTTTTAGCCAGGTACAATTGAGTGAAAAAATCTCAGTGTGGTTTCTTGGTAGAGTGAGAGTTGGAGGATGGTATAAGAAGGGGCTGGTGAAATTAGAGTTGGACAGATTGCGTCCTTGAAAGGTACACTAAAAACCACAGGAAGTCAGGAAAATGATTAAATTTATATTTAAAAAGATTATTTATAGAATGCCCAGGGGCTATGACCATTGTCTAGAGCCCAGGTACTCTTTAGGCCTAAACTCTAAGCCCCAATAAAGCTGCTTAAAAAAAAACTTTGTAACGTATGCAGACTGGAGCTGGGAGTAGAAGTGATTGGGAGAGCCTAGGGAATAAAGCTCCTGATATCTTCAAAGTCTAAAACTGGGGGAGCTGTCCACATGGCAGGTGCTGAATAGGGCAAGTGAGGAGCTGCCTAATGGAGTTTCATGGGATGATGCATGGTGTTAATGTCTACCACAGGGGTGGGAGGAAGGGAGTTGCTCTTTTTTTTTTCCTTTGTCCATTTCATTTTCCTCTTTTGCCATTTATTTTCCTCTTCTACTTTCTCCCTTCTCCCATTTTCACTTTCTGGCAATCCAGGCGGCTTTAGCCCATTCTCCTGGAAGGACAAGAACGAGTATACTGCTTGCTGCTTGTCCATCACTGACTTCTCTTGATGAAGCGTCAACAGAAAATTGATGATTACAATTCAGAAGTACCCCACCTTTATCTGAAGTTTGTATAACTGGTTATTATTACTGGACCAGCAATCCCAGACTCTTTTGAGACACTGGGTGAGAAGATATTGTCATTATTATGTTATAGTTGTTATAAGCAGTTATCGATGATTAAGAATTTAGTATGGGCCATGCAGTTCACCAAGAAGTTTACTTCCCCAGACCTATGAGGAGACTGTATAACTCTATTTTGTAGAACATGGTTTGACTTGGAAGAATAGTGGTTGTGATTTAAGCTATTTGTTCAATAAATTATTATTGAAGCTATACACCCAAGGGATGAGAATGAAAAATGTGGAGAATGAGACCCATTGATGCCTGCTATGCATAGGTCCTTTTTTTGGTGGTACTAGGATTTCAACCGAGAGCCTTGCACCTGCTAGGCAGATGCTCTACCACTTGAGCCATACCTCCAGCCTTGCATAGGTTCTTACGATAATCACTTGATTTAATCTCATGAACATCCAGTGAGGTTGTACTGCAGTTGTTCTCACTTTACGGATGAGAATGCTGAGGCTCAGAGAGGTTACATAATTGGATGAGATCCCACAACTAGTATGAGGCTAGATAATTTTAAAATTTGGAACCACCTGATTTTAAAGTCTTTGCTCTTTTGTCTAGTGTTCTTTTTTAGTTTTATACATCAGCTATGTCTACAATGTAGCTTGATTTTAGCAAGCAAAAACAGCTAGCCTCATTCCACTGCAGTTTCATTTGCTTGGTGTCTCCATGCCTTTTAGATCATCTCTGCCTCTGGGAGGGCAGCTTCCAATCCTGGAGCCTGTCAGTGGCTTGCAGGTTCCCTGTGAATGGAGGCATGTTTGTTTTCTGTAATTGCACACTTATTAGGTCATAAGGCATCACCAAACTAAGCTGGCCTTTTCCTAAATCCTCACTGGACAGTTTGGTCAATACTAGAAATGTCAACCTGCTATACAGCCTCTAACAGGGAGGAGGGAGACTGAGAACAAAGTCTCCTTTAAAAGAAACTCTAGTGGATGGGAGTGAACAGAATCAACATCTTACTTGCTTTAAATCCCCTGGAGTGGCTATGAAAGAGAAAGGACTTGCTGGATCCAGGAGAAAAAAAAAGCCTTTGATTCATCTGAATTAATTTTGCATCTCCCAGGAGATGATGCTTTGGCATCACCCTCATGTTCTGCATTCCCCCGTGCACAGCCCCCGCAACCCAGAAGGATCAAAGTCTAGTCTATGGGGGGTAGCACCCACAGTTCCTCCACTTTAATTAAATACATTTGTCCTGGGGTCACTGAGCCTCAGGATGTCCACAGGCTTTGATCTTTAACCCACACACATCTGAAGGAGTGGGCAGCTAGTGCTCAGAGCTAGGACAGTGTCTTCTTCCTGAGGTGGCAGAGCTTCAGTTATGAGCACAAGGGAACAGCAGATTCTGTAAGGTTTGGGTGAAGAGTTCAAAACCCAACTGCATGCCTCTACCTTACCCTCTACCTTACCTAGAGCTCTTGGCCTTCATTTTTTAAAGGTGGGCTCACTATGATGATAATTTGAATGCTCTCATAACTAACATAGAAGCTGCTCTGGGTTGTGGGGTTTGACATTTAGCCTATGAAAGATGGCTTTCCCTTCAGGTCTATTTATCTGTTCCCTTTACACAAGTGATACCTCCCCTTTCCCTTTTGGTTTGGAAAAGATCAGCACCACCCGTCAAGTTTTTAGTATGACTAGCAGAGTATCACACGCACGCTGCTGTGCCAGGCCATCTTTACCCCAGCATTGCTTGCTCCAGGTTGACCGCAGGGGGCATCTTGGGGAGAGAAGTGGCAGCTGAACTCTGCAGGTTATCGCTCCATTCCAGTGCCATGCAGAGTTAAAGATCTTCTAGTTGGAAAGGGAGCAAACTGAGGCTCAAAGAAGTCAAGGATCTTGTTCAAGTCACAGAGCCATTAGTGATAGAATCCAAAGAGGAACCAGGTAAAGTAGAAGCTCTCCTCCTCTGTTTACTGAAAAATTTGGCCTCTACCTTTATCAACCCACCTCAGGACCTGGCTCAACAGAGCAGTAGACTTGGAGTCGGACCTGGGTGTCAGTCCATACTCTGACGTTTACTTAGGGCAGTTCACCTCTTGGATTTTTATTTTCTCCCTTTTAAAACAACAGGAATAGGAACAGTGATTAGCCTAGCCTACCTGCCTTGCAGTCTTCTGTTATTAATAAGAAGAAAAAGTCAAATGGAAAAGTAAGGCAAAACCCATCAAGTAAGAGAAAATGCTATTTACAAATAAAGCCTGGTTATTATTTGGAAGTAATGTGAGTGGCTCATTTTTTAAGAACAGTATTGGGGTTTGAACTCAGGGCCCCACACTTGGCAGGCAGGTGCTCTACCACTTGAGCCATTCTCTTAGTCCTGAGTTGTTTAATTTTCTTTCTTTCTACAGTCAGAGGCTGGAGGCAGCTAATCAGGCCAGGTGAGAGATGCAGATGACGAATGCTCATTAGCACCAAAGTACCTTAGAGACTCTTGTGCTTCTGGTAACCTGCAGAAAGTGCTCATGTCCACATGAATGTGTACATGTTTGTCTCGGGTAAGGGACATAGGGGAGGGAAGGCCTGGCCTGCTTTAGCACTGTGGCTGGTAGAGTAAAAGGGAGTGGGGGGATGGGTAGAGGCCCACCTGTCAGACACATTGAGGAGAGGCAGCACTGTCCACTGCCACAGGTTCAAGCCTTCATTGGTGGCCACTTCCCAGATCATTCTGCTCTGCTCCTTCCCGGTTTTGTTTTCCACCAGCACCAAGGACACATTTCCTCTCAAAACTCCACGGATGAGCCAGGACATTCGGAGCTGTGAAGAAGGGAAGAGTCAGAGAATAAGGGGTTAACAATGAAAGAAAATTGTAGGCCCTCTTCCTGGAATTCAGCTGAGGTTGGTCCATCCAGGAGAGTAGACACCCACCACCTGATTTCACTCACTGTTGTCCAAAGTGGCTTTCATTAAAATTAAAGGAGCAGGGCAGGAACAACCAGTGGACGATTCAGAACTTTGTTCAGGTTAATGATATCATTCTAAATTTTACAAGATTTACTCAGAGGTAGATCAGTACAACATTCAATGAATTTCCTAAAGAGTAGTCAAAAGATTTTGTCAATGGATTTAACTCACTTTGTGACCTTATGCAAGTGGTTTTTTGGACTCAATTTCTTTTAGTGACTTAGCTATAGTAGATTTTTGTTTCTTCTAATAATAATTATATTTGATAGTGCCATGTTATATGTTAACTAACTGGAGATCCTATGGACAAAGAACAGACAAATGTCAGGCAAAGATCTTTCAATATGGTTGTCTTCCAAAATGAGGATATCCACTTTACTGAAAGGAAGCTATGATCATATGTTTCATTGTGCTTTTAAGAAAGGTTTCTACGACATCATTCTTTTTTCTTTTTTTAAAATTTTATTGTTTTTAACTTACATGTAATTTACTTACATTTACTTACATGGTCAACCTCCCTACCACCCAGTCATCATTCTTTAGACATTTAAAAGGGAATTATAACTCATATTCTTTCTAAGAAAGTTCAAATACAATCTTATTCATAGGCGGTACATACTACAAACAAGGTCTCTGATCTTTGTGTTTAAAATAATAGAGGTTTGTAGGTTTGATAGAAATAACCTATAAACAACATCTAAAATTTAAGACAACTGCATCCTATCATTGCTTAGATACTCCAGTTCAGACTTTGTAATAACCAAAAGCTTATTGTAGAAAGAAGTAGAACATGTGTCCTATGGCAAGCTGGAGTTCTAATCAGCCAGCATGCACCATGTTTTCTGATTCTCATTGTTTGAAGATCTGCTTTTCTGTAAATCACCACTCCTTTGTCTCCCACTCCCTGTTTCATGGTTGTCTCAAAATTTGATTGAAGAGGTTAATCACCACTAACTACGACAGTCACAGACTTCCCACTGTCTTACATACAAAACCCATCATTAATAATGCCACACCTGGGTACTGGAGTCCCTAAGAACTGATCAACCTGGTAATCCTGTTCTATTACTACAGCCTATTCATTTGTACCTTTTCCATTTTCTTGTATCTAGGAAAGCAAACACTTATCTCCTTTGAATCCCACCCCCCAGAATAATCAAGTGAATCTGTTAATTTTTTTTCTGGTCTACTCAGCTGTCTTCTGTGTCTGGACATCATGATTTGAAAGTTTAATCCTACCCTGGTTAACTCAAACTCTCTCAGTCTTCAACACATGCCATGTGATGCCCTGCTTAGAATGATGCTAGACACAAGCTTTTTCTCCTCTTGCCCCTTGGCCATAGAACTTTGTGGATTTAGACTTCTGTAAATTCATACTGTTGACCCTCAACTGTCCTGGATGGTTGGTGGTACTTATTCATCCTTTGTGGATTTCCACATTTGATTTCTGGACACATGCAGTACAATGGTTGTTTCAACCTCCCTCTCAGACACTGATGTTCTACCTTCTGGTCCCCAACTCCTGATCCATTAATTAGATTTCTCCCTTACTGAGGAAGATCTACTATATCAAGTACAATCTCTGTTGGTCTCTCCCTGCCTCCCCCATTCACAGCATAAGTGTCTATTTACCTACCTCTTCTTTTCCTGCCTTAGAGAAAGATTCATCCTTCATTTCCTTCTCTGTTCACCACTTCCCATTTCATACCACCCTCCAAGTCCTTGCTCTTTCAATTACTACCCTCCTTTCTCTAGCACCTTCAGTGTCTCTACCTTCTGGTTTCTCTTCTACAAAGAAGATCAGATTCTACTCATTCTGGAAAAATACCATTTATTTGATCCTGTTAGCTAACTCCTCTGGTTTGCAACTCATTTCTGTGTCAATATCGTGGCAACTGCTGCTTCCATTTCCTTTTTTGTCTCCTCTCTCTTTAAGTCCATCCTCCCTCCCTCCCTCCTTCTCTTCCTTACTTCCTCAGTGCTGGTGATTGAACCCAGGGTGTTACACAAGGTAGGCAGGTATTCTATCACTGAGTTACATCGCTAGCCCTTCCTTAAATTCTTTCAACCTGGCTTCTATCTTCATTTCTCTTTCTAAAGAAGTCTCACCATGTTCTTTATAACTTACTCTTTGCATTTTTTCTATTATCTATTGAAGTGCTTCTCCCTGGCTCTCTCCACTCTGAATCCTCTGTATCTCTGTCACATTTTCCTGTTTATCACTACCATCTGTGACTCAGAGCTTAACATTCTTTAATAGTTTCTCATTCCCTATTGAAAAGCCAAGGCATTCATATTCCTCTATAATCTATAGAAATCAACATTTTTAGTCATTCAACGAATATTTATTGAACATGTATGCTGAGTCACATGTCGCTTTCATTCTAGAATGATCTTAGAATGTTGAAATCATAGAGATCAAGATTAAAAACTTGTTCTTGCCACTTTGGTCAAGTTATTTAATAATCTTGAAGCTCAGTTTCCTATGTTCTACAATGGGACTAATTCAATCTATTTTATGGGATTATAGTAACCATTGAGTGAGGTAATATATGGTGTAAACAAAAGTTAAAAAGGGATTTTGGTAGAAGCACTTAGGCAGTGGATAGCACACCACATTTCAGAGGGAAGTGTTAGAGCACAAGGATACAGGACTTTGAAGAAAAGTGGGTGAAAACAGGCTGCTCAATCCTTAGCCTTTCTCTCTCTTTTTTTTTTTTTCAGGATTCTCAATTATTTCTTTTTTTAATTATTCGTTTATTCATATGGGCATACATTGTTTGGGCCATTTCTCCCCCCTGCCTATCACCCCCTCCTTCTCCCCCCAAACCCCCCCCCCATGCTTCTAGGCAGAATCTGTTTTCTAATTTTGTTGAAGAGAAAGTATAAGCAATAATAAGAAAGACAAAGCGTTTTTGCTAGTTGAGATAGGGATAGCTATACAGAGAGATTCCTAGTATTGCTTCCATGTACAAATGTGTTACATCCCAAGTTGGTTCATCTCTACCTGACCTTTCACTAGTTCCTGATCCCCTTCTCATATTGGCCTCTGCCCCTTTAAGGTTTCTGTATTAGTTCCTCTGCAGTGGGGACATCAAACACTTTCATGTTTTGGGTTTCCTACCTACCCCCAAACCTCCTGTTTGTGCTCTCCGTTTATCATGTGACCCAAGTTTGACCACATTGCTGTATTTGCCCTAGATCTAAAGTCCGCATATGAGGGAGAACATACGATTTTTGGTTTTCTGAGCCTGCTTAGCGTTTCTCTTATACTTTGGGTATGAAAAAAAGTTGGTGGCAAACATTTAGGGGAGAGTATTTGGAATGTGTTTTCGGTGCATCACGAATTCTGTGTCACCCTTTGTTAAGAGGGATGGGGCTGTTCCCTCTTCATCTAAAGTGAAGATTGAGTGACTTTATGATACCATATTGAGTACTGGATACTCATCTGCAGTTTGGGGAGCATGGTGGGTTAGTGTCTGTCTCCTACCTGGAAAATCTAAAGTTTGGTTAGCTACTCTCATGGCAGAGCAAAGAGAAGTGGCAGTAATGGATGGCCTGCACTCTAGAGTGTGCAAAAAAAAAATTGCCTGTGTGTTCCAGACAGTCTAGAGGTGTACAAGGAGTCATTTTAAATCTGGTCCTAGAGGATGCATGGAGCTGTAAATAGACTACAGCAGAAGCTGCTGACATCTTGAGATGCCCATGGGAGGAGGAGAGAAGAAGTGAACATACCCTTTCCTTGATTACAGGCTGTCCATCTGCAATAGGACCAACTATGGTAGAGGAAGAGAGGGAAAGAAACCCTGAATTTAAAGCAAAACAAGTTATTGGCTGGGTATTTTAATGACTAAGTAGCCAAAGTTTTGTGACTCGAAGTGGCTGCATTACTTTAAAGTGGCTAGGTCAGTGGTAGCCTGCCAGGATTTTTTCTCAGAAGCCCACATGGGGTCTCAGTTCAGTGAATGGGAGTTCCCAGACTCCCTCCTACCAGTCTTCTTTGCACCTGTCCGGCATTTTTCTGCTTCTGTGATTTAGCTCTTTCCATTGCTTCTACCTGCTCTTTCCTTTTTTCTACTTGAAAATAGGAAATCTATTTCCTTTTCAGGAATTCTTTCTTATCATTGTTCTCAGAAATTACTTCCTCCTCCTTTTAAGTCCTGTAATAGAGGCTATTGGGGTACTTAGGGGTGTAACCCTGCTGCTTTGCCTTCTCTTCCCACCCTTCATCCCCCTTGGATTACAGTGTCCTTCAAGGCAGGGGTTGTCTTATTTACTTATCTTGTATTCAATGTCTGTCACATGAGGGCACTTGGTAAGAGCCAATCAGTGTCAGAATGAATAAAAAGGTACACATTCATAGCAGTTACTCCTGCCTCTTCCAGCAGTAAATCAACTTTCCAATCTTGTGAAGATCCTTCAGACTTTCCTCCATTCTAGAGGTCAGTTTCCAGGGAAGCGGAAAGAATTCCCCACTTCTCAGCCCCCTGGCTATATTGTAAACTGGTCACTTCTCAGGCTGCTCTTGGGAGTTTTCCAGTTTGAAGTATAATCTGCTAACGTCAATAGCTTAGTGTTGTCATGCCTATAATGGGCAATGCGCCAGCCTCCTGCCCAGCTTCCTCTATCTTCCTGCAATATATGTTAGGCTTCCTCTATCTTCCTGCAATATATGTTAGGTCAATCAGATTGGACAAGAAAAAGAGTACTGGGTTGACCACCAAGGGATATTGCTAAAGCTATGGCATCTTTGAAGGACACAATCATCTATCTATTCGTTCACAAATATTTACTGCCTACCTACTCTGTGCCATATACTAAGTACATCTTCCCTGCTCTCATGGAACTTATCA